CATTATTGTCCCGTCACGTTGTCACCCTCTTTTATATACCAGACTACCCTATATCTAGTAAATGCTAGAGCACTCGCCAAGGTACAGGATAGTTCTAGAAACGTGGCGTGACACTAGTCATGTGACTTCGCTGACGCAACAATATATATATACACACACACACAAATAAATTCTTAAATTTCAGTTATTTTCTTAAAACAAAGAACAGTAAATAAGAAATATATAGAAAAGAATGATCTCTACTAATTACAATGTTACAAAGTTGTGCATAATACTTGCTAAGCCTCATCAAATTTCACACATGCAAGATGTAAAAAAAAAAAAATTGTAAACTTTATATATATGCATTTTGAATAACACAAAAATGTAAATTACTATACTGATACCACAAAAATCCACTGTAATTTATCAGGCTTACTAACTTTGCTATATTTGTGTCTACAAAATCTCCTGATCAGAATATCGCTTTAATCATCATACTTCAAACTCTCCAACAATTGTAATGTCTTTACCCTCATAGATACTTTAGGAAGGCTGACAGAATTATGTAGTTCAAAATGAGTGCTTTCAATTGGTTATAAAGATGTACTTAAGAGAAGTAGGCATAAGTGAACAAGTATTTTCAAAAGATGAAGTGATTGGTGGGCAGAGCCAGTGTGATTAGTTTGTTAAATATAATAATATCTAAGCAAAACAGAAAAGGTAGGAGGTTCTTATTATGTATCTTAGCTTGTCAGCATTTGTAATTTGAGTTTCTAATTCATTAAAAACTATAGACATTGTACTGTGGACATCATAAGATGTAAACTGAGCAAAAGCAGAAGACAAAGTACCACATGACACACAAAAATCAATATTTAGCTTTTTTTTTTTAATATTTACTTTTGAATTAAGAAATTAAATAATGTATAATACTAAAATCTGAATTATAAAATATAATTTAACTAGTATAAAAGCCCATCAAAAATGATGGGAAACCATTGTTGAATGATTAATGAAAATTATAGAATTTAACTAAAACAACCTTGTCTGTTCCTCCGAAATGCACCTACTTTTCACATATTTCATCAATCTCAAAGTAATTCTTTAATCACAACTTTTTGTAGCAATAACTACACAGAAAATGAAATGTTATCATGAACAAAAAGTATGTGTGGACTATGAAAGAGATTTAAATAGCACTCTTGAGCCTTTTCACTGCATTCTATATAAAGAAGTAGAAAACATAGTGCGGACATTACGACACAAACTTTCAACTCTTTCAACTGTAATAGTAGTAATAAACATTTATTTTTCTTTATGTTTTAAGACCAAGTAGATAATATGTGTGTTAAAATACCAAAAGAATATTTATTAATTAACATTTAGTCACTACTTAAAACTTTTTAAACATCGACACAAATTTTCAACTGTTTCAACTGTACAAAGGATAAAAGATACTTTGTAGTAATAAATGTTTATTTTTCTTTATGTTTTAAGGCCAAGTAGATAATATACGTGTTAAAATATCAAAAGAATATTTATTAATTACCATTTATTCACCACTTAAAACTTTTTAAACACTGACTACATAATGTTGGTAATAGGCTTATTTGTAGATTAATTTAAGCATTAGGCCTAATACATAAACATAATGTAAGGCTTAACTTAAACAATACTTGGTAGATTTTATTTTGCTTTTGGCAACAACTCAATGTCATAAAACTTCTGAATTAAACTATTTTGCTGTTATATCACCAAAGTTATAAAAAAAAGAATAAAAAACAAACCTTTCTAATAATTCACCATGAATATTGAGCATTCAACATAAACACCATAGTTGGGCTAAGAACAATCAGGTGATAGTTTTGTTGTTAAGAGATGATGTATATTGTTGAGCATTACCAAAAAAGGAGAGAAAAGCATTATTGACAGAGTGACAAAGGGAATAAGCCTTTTGTAGTTAATGATGCCAAATTTATTGACATACATTCACAAATTAGTGGTTTAATAACACTTTGAATGCAAGTCTACAAAATGTGATGACATGCCCTCTGACGTCTATCTAAATGGAAAGGGTTAACTGAAAATAAAAACTTACCTCTGACTTTTCTTCACATATCTTCATCCCATCGAATGATATATTCAAGGTAATTCTTTTTTTATGTCCTTTTGTTCGTTTTATAGCATCCTGAAAATAAAAAAAATTTTATTTTTTTTTAAATAAACAAGGTTTGAACCTCTCATTTATTTTTTAAATTAGGGAAGCAAATCACAAAATTTTACTTGTGATAAAAGCAAATTTGCATTTATCTTTTTCTAACACTGATTGTTGTCACTTCTCTCATTATTATTACTATTACCTGCCTTGTTCATCAAAATATCAATTATCCAGGATTGTTTCCCTTATTGATGGATTTATGCTTAAAAAGCCATATTTAAGGCTTAAATAAGTTAAGTGTAATTAGATTTAGACAAAATGATAGTCTATACACATTATTTTAGAAAATGCTATCTTTATTTCTTTGATAGGTTAAAAATTAATTACAAACCTTAAGTTTCTGAAGAGATGTCTGACATATAACCTTCCCCCTAGCTTCATTCACGTGCTCTACACCAATCAGCTTGGCTTTGAACCTCACTCCAACACCTTCAAACCTACTGTTTTCTGTAACGAGTATTCTAAATATACATTTCTGTGGAAAGCATCTTAAAATACCTTTACTGAAAGATCTCTCAATTTTTTTCTCAGCATAAAGCTCATATAATGTAAAATAGAATGGTAAAGGAACAACACGAAAACAGATGAATCATATCTACGAATTCACAATAATTTTCCTTACAATTAAGAATTAAATAATTATCAACATAAATAATTAAATACACTAATGACTTTCATAACTTTGATTTACTTGCATAATGTAAAAAGTTAGATAATGCATTTAAGACTTTTTTTTTCCAACCTGTTATAAACAGTCCCTCTTTTTTTTCCTGATATTATTAGATGACTTAATTTACTATTGCTTTGAATGTTGACAAAAGTTCAGAAATTCAAATTAAAGAAAAAAACTCTGAACCCAAAATATGCAGATAAAATTATCAATTAGTATGATTTATATTTGTTTATATGTGCAAAATATATTGAGAACCCAGTATATGAAATGAAAGTATAATAAAACTTACAGAAAAACTAACTTCTTACAATTGAAATTGACCAAGTATACATTTTCTGCATCAAATTACATATATTAACAATACGGACCATATGTTCAAGTTTGATTGCATAATAAAAACTATTGATATGGCAAGAGAAAGGTTAAATGCATCATGATAAGGAGTCCAGATGTACAAGAGAGAAGATGGTGACATGCCTATTGAAGTGTCAACATGTCAAGGACATTGATGTACAGAGACCATACCATTGGAGACCAAATACCAGAAATGATGAAGGAATCCAGAACTGCACACCACCCAGACATAGAGGTGTCTGTGAAAAGATGCAAGTTCAAACAAGGTAGAGGAAGAAGGATGCCCATGGTCATTTTGGATTGATTGAGCCACTGTGACAGAAGCGAAAAGCTGGAGGGAAAGAAATGAGAGAAAACAGTAGATTTCTGGACATATTCAATTGATCTGTCAGTCTATTGATGAGGATGCAAATGGATGCATCCCAGAGGACTAAAGACTCTATAGAGATGATAGTCTCCAAAAGAGACAGAACCTCTCATATAGGAAAAGGAGACATGAAGGCTTTTGAAACCAGAAGCTCCATAGCTCAGAGAAACAAAGGAGAAGGTTGAGTTAGCTCATCAAATGAACTAACTGACTTTGAAAGCCTGACCAGCCAGCCCAAATAAACTCCCAAAAGAGAAGGGAGGATGGCAGAAGATACCTCCCATGATGGGATTAGGAGGACCCAATTACATAGGCCTGTGAATTTAAATTTCATAAAAGTTGTTTTGGTTTTAATAATGGATTTTCCATAATTCAGCTATGAAGATTTCAAAATTAACATTCATACGTTTTTTTATGACATAAGGATTTTTTACAAATCAGGCAGGAGAAAAAACTCTTTGAGGTCTTTTTTTATGTATTGCATCTCATTTCAATGACCAGCAGTAATCATCCATCATGCTGATGTTCCACCTTCCCCAATACCTCCTTACCATTTCCCTGATGTCTTGATGAAACCATTCCCCTTGTCCTTTGCTGACGACACCATGATTGTCAGGGAAATAGTCAATATGTGAGTGTAAGAAATGAACTTTCAATCTCATATTACAACCCAACTCTTTGAATTTATCAAGCATATTATTGACAATATTTTCATAATTTGGGTCCTTGTTGTTTTCTAAAAATTTGTCACTAACATCTTTAAAGGCAATCCACGCTTCTTTTTCAACTTTTCTCATTGTCCTTTTGAACTGTTCATCTGAAGTCAATTTCCTAATCTTAGGCCCAACACAAATCTTCTTTAAGTTCGCTTCTGAGAGAGCTGGGAATTGTCCTCATAGATACTTGAAACAGTCACCATCTTTGTTTAAGGTCTTTACAAACTGCTTCATCAAGCCCAGTTTTATGTGAAATGGAGGTAATAGGACTTTCTTTCACATTCAATGTTTTTCAATCCTGGTATCAGGCTGACTCTGCATGGCTATTGCTTCTTTATCCAGTGCTGATTTTATGCTCTGCTGTCCCAATCACACAAAAAACATGGAAACTTTTAAGTCTCCACAAAGTAGCCAACCATGTTCTTTGTATTTGACCTTATTAAGAAGAAGTTCAAGATTTTCCTACATTTCCTTTGAGTGAACCGAATGAGCAATAGGAACAGATACATATATATATATATATATATATATAACCATTGTGAAGGAGAACACCTTTTAGACTTCTTTTGGAGGAATCAATGAACAATCGCCACTCACTTGGTTCATAGACTGCAGCTCCTAGCATTGGTATTAATTCAGCAATACTGTTGCAATAAACCAGTGAACCTTCTTGTGAAAAGTATGGTATAAACTCTTTCTCACGATTTCTGTACCAGTAAAATGATATCCCTGGAGAAATTAAGTTCTTAGCCCAAAATCTCTGAAGAATCCTTTGGAAGGCCCAAATCTCTCACCAAATCACTAGTGTGAAATGTTGTGGTTTCTAGGCTCATGCCAGACAATTGGTATTCCAAAAGGCAAAGATTTTTTTTAGTCTATTGTCTCAACTCCTAGAAACAAATGGCGCAAACTTTGGGCGAGCACATGATTTGTCTTGGTCCCCAAGTTTTATTCCAAAATATGCATAATACACTTTTCTGACAAATTCTGTAATGTTTTACCTTTGTTTCTTTACAACACATTTATCACAAATATAACAGAATATTTTTGGGTCATTTACACAACCTCTTATTACCATAATGATAAATACATAATATTGAAAAGAAAAAAATAATGTCAAAGTGCACACACAAACAAATGCTATTCAGAAATGACATGTTATACGGTCTGTTAACCATTTATAGTGGTGTGTTTCTAGTGGGTTCTAGAATGATCAATAAGACTCTCATGTTGTGATTGGTCTACAGAAATCTATAGTCAGTGGTTGTCAACATTTTAAGCATAACAAAATTTGACCGAATTTCAATGTAAAAGTACATATGACATTTTGTGAAAAAACTGTATTTGATGGGGAAAAATGGATATTGTTTTAAGATTTAGCATAAAAGAATTACTTTAGAACATGTAAAAATTTCAAGACAATAAAACCATTACAGGCCTGTGTTATCCATATAATAGTGGATATGCAGACCCAAAGTGTGCATTCCCTGGGCAAATACCCTCATGATCCAGTTAAAAATACATGGGGCTGTAGTTAACCAAAAGCAATGATGGTCAGTTGAATCAAAATGTGGAGAGAAACATCCACAACCTAGAAGAGATTATCCATCTCAGATCAAAGAAACCTTCCATCTTGAACCATGGAATGACCAGAAATTGTTTCAAGAGTGATGAGCCTATAATGGGCCTTAAATCCCTAATTTTTCTAAAAACTGCCAAAAGATGGAGTATAACCCCAGAGTAGTGTCAAGGACCTGAACCCCTGTGTACATTGCCCGAATGGAAGACACACTCTCCTTCGGGTTTTCACACTGCGTTCATTAGGAGGTGGAAAGAGAACATGAGTAGGAAAAAAATAATATATTGATAGCTGTAAAACAGAAAAAGCCCCTTGTGACTCATGGGTCTTCTGCAAAGGGAGTGCACAAGTGTGCAAAGTGTAAGATCTAAGCTCCAATAGGACTGGAGCTGAGTAGTGGTTCTAAAAATGAACCATCTCCGAGCTTCTTGACAGCTAAATTGATGGAAAGGAGAGGCAGGAAGGGACCAAAGGAAGAGGAGCAGGATAGGGAGCACACAACTAGGTTCATGAGGGCAAGTAACATTCTAGGTCTTCCTGGACCCAAATAAGTTGGAAAGCAGAGTGAGCAGAGATGACTGCCGACAAGCTGTCTCAGCCCTTGTTTCTAAAGTATAAGGAACCCTTTCAAAATGGTCTAATTAAAGGAAGGGCACCAAACAAAATTCCATGATGCAAGACCGAGGAGGTCTAACTCTAGAAAACAAGGACCAAGCAAATCCCAGAAAGAAAACAAAAAGACCAAGATAACTGAGCAACTGCTGAAGAAAAAAAACAACTGAGGTCTGCTTTAGAGCAGGGTTGTGATGCAGATCCTCATACAAAAACTGTAAAGAGGACAGATAGCAAAGAAACTAAGCAAGCAAAAGACAAGAATATTGAGGGCCAGAGAAAGTGAAAGCAGAAGAAGATCCTAAAGCTGGAAGAAAAGATTAGGGATTGGAGCTTTAGTAAAGGAGGAGGATCCCAACTATACACCATACATTAGGTGTATAGTCAACATGAAGCTGAGAGAAGAAAGATTCTGCATGAATGCAAATATCAAATGAGAAGGGAAAGAAAACGAAAGCCTGAGGTTTAAGGCTCCTGCAATAAGTCCATGAACTCACAGAAACAACTGGAATAGGAGAAGGAATGTCACATACTTGAGATATCGAAGTAACAAAAGAAAAGGGTGGGGTTACCTGATTCTTGTATGGGATAGAAAATACAGAAACAAAACGAGGCTGTGGAAAGAGTTGTTCAAAATCATCCAAAAACATGGCAGAAGCAGAAGGCCATGAGTCCTGGGTCTTAGAAGAAAAATGTAATATAGAGTAAACCATTTGACGTACAATGACAGTAACATCTCTCACCCTCAGAGTACCTCCAGTCACTAGTGAAGTAAAATAAGACAACTGTTGTGAAGTGTCTAGGCCTCATGAGCCTTCAGAAATGTAGGCTCAAGAATCCATATTAAATGAATCCATAAAACGGTATTGATTGAAATTGTTAAATAAAATTAACTTAAGAAAAATAATAATTCTTATTAGCAACCTTAACAGAAATTTTTCAATTGAAAATTTGGGTATAGCCAGAAGATCTTCTGTTTAATAAAGGTTTGAGAAAAATAACACAACCAAACAGCGTACTAAAGATGAAAAGAAAGAGCTTCAGTTTACACAAAGTGCTGAAGGGAAGTATCGTGCATGGAGGTTGTGTCATCCCTTCTGATGGAGGAGTATGGTGTGATGTTGCTTGGCAACACAGATTAATGCAATACACAATATTATATACAGGAGTGAGAGCTCATTCAAAGACTTGGTGTATGCACAAAAATATTTTGGTAGTAACACTAAGATGCTAGCTAACTGTTCTGTGGAGAGATGAACATTGTAATTTAAATCTTTATTTGAATCTAATAAGTTTGGGACCCTAAAATACTACAAATAATTACAACCTAACTTTATTGTTTGTTTTGAGATAGTACATCCAACTATCTAAAAACAATCAAAGTTAGGACTAATGATTTCAGAACACTACTAGGCCTGGTGTTGCTACTTTAGGCCTAATTGTACTGATAATAATAAATCCTAAAAAGTTCATTCCAAACTAATCTGACTAAAAATACAATAAATTATTATAAACTTTAAATAATACTGAAATAATGCTCCAAAATGTATTGTCTGTTTCTCAACATATTAATATTGTGGTGTACTATATAAGAATCAGATATTATGAACCATTTAAAGAAGAATGTTGTAATGTGCTAATATAAGTATTGTAGTGTGTAATAAACTGCAAGGAGCAAATGTATAAAAAACAACAACTGTTCATTACAGTCTACTGTGGTTATCTTTTAAGATAGCTAAGCTTCAGTATAATCCTTCTAAAAAGGATTTTGTACGTAAAAAAAAGATCTGACCACGTATGTGACCTTTCATACAGAATCAAAGCAAATCCTATGATAGTTTAACTTTCAAAAATAGAGCAGACTAATAAAACTATCAGTGCAGAAGAGATTTTCAGAAACAAAGTAATGATCACAAAAGACTGTTCTACCCCATTACCATAAACAAACAAAATCACCTTTTAAAAACTTGGTGGCTAAATAAATTAAGAATTGAAAGATGTAGTATTTATGACTGTTACTCAAAAGCTTTTAAAACATAGTGATGTGGTAAGATTAAACAGAAATGTCCATCACAGTGTGTTTACATTCAAATTATTTCTCTGAAAATTTTTTATAGATATTATACTATTTTATAATGCAGGTATTCTTTAATTATTTTTCAAATTATGTGCTAAAAGTTTTGATTTAGCTTTGGTGCTATTGGTAACAAGTGAAGTTTTCTTGCTGAGAATGCACTTGAAAAAGTAAGTTATAAAAGCAAACTATAAACAGGTTAATTCATAGATCAATATTTTAATTAAATGTTAACAGGATCGACAGTTGATACTTCAAAAATGCTGTTGCAAATTTTTGTAAAGTTTATCAGTCTATGAGTTTAGTGATTTCAATATATTGCCAGTGATTTACTACATAAGATAAGCTTAGCTCAGCATATGCACATTTTGCTATAATGAGAGTAGGACTAGTCTAGAATCATAATTACTTTAATACATTCGTTTTTTTAAGCTCTAGAGTGAAGTAAAACATCAGTTAAGTTTTATGCTGAATTTAACTTTTAGAATGTGAGTGTACAACTTTCAAATCTTTTGTATTTATTTTGTATATAAAGTATTAGATTTGTTAGTCACTGAGTCATTTGTCAGTTATAAATTAACAGTGAGATAATTACATAACAAAACTGTTTTCCGAGTCATCTATCAGTTCTTAATGACTGAGAGTTCATTACATAAAACAGCTTTCCAAGTTCTCCATCAGTCTAAGATAAATAAATACAAGCTCATTACATAACACACTTCAAACTTAAAACTATGTATATTTATTAGTTTTGTTACGAAAGTATAAGGAAACTTTCCATTACAATAAATATTTTGACCTACCATGCATCAAAGAAGCTTTGTTTAGTTCATTTTTACTTGTTTCATGATTTGTGTTGTTGCTAGAAACATTAATGCTGAACGGTACTTGCATTTTACTAGAACCAACATTTCCTAATTCTTCAGTTTCGTTTTCTTTCATGGTACTTCTAATCTTAAAAACAATAAAGAAAATAAATTACAATATTAACAATAAAATATGTATACATAGCCAAAACTAAATATTTACAATTAACAGATTCTATTCAATAACTAATATTTTGATAATGATAATAAATGAAAAACAGATAAATATGAAACCCTAAAAACATACAGAATTCACTTTGTGCAATAAACTGGTAATGGTTATTAACTTATGGAATGATATAACACATTAATGTTAAAAAAATCTACTTTGCTTGGAATTTCAACCAATGACCTCAACTCAAAATAATGATCTGAGGCCAGTACTGTATTAACTACTATGAGTGAGGGATTAAGTTCCTTTATCCTGACTGTGATAGCTGCTTTGTTAATTACCTTAAATGCAACAGTAATTTTGATAAATATAACTTGTATTATTTTGAGTGTCCAAAGTCACATACTGTATAACAAAAAGTGTAGCAAATGCACACACATTCATGATAATGTCAGATTTATTATATATAGCTTACTTAAGATGGATTTTTATCACTTTTGGGGGTTTAATTTTGTAATGTTTTTTTCCAAATGCACCATTTGGTAACAGTCTGTGTCTGTTGCATACTGTTCATGCAGTAACAGTCCATATTTGTTTCATACTGTTTATGTGGTAACAAACAAAGCACTTATGTAGTAACAATCCACATTTTTTACATAGTGCTTATGTAGTAACAGTCCCAGTTTTTTTGCATTCTGTTTATGAAGGCTTTTTAACTGCTTAAACACCTAATTTGGAAACCTCAGACAAACTTAAGTAAGCTGTGCTACTTTGCAAAATCAACTTGTAATTATCCTGAAATTCAGTTTCTCTTCAAAATTTTGCTGTTACTACAATTAAATCATGGTCTATTTTTACCAGAGCAAGTTAGGCTATTATCTGATTTTAAGAAAATAGAAATCCAAACTTCCAATTTAAGATTATTATAAAAAACACAAATTAGCATTTTTTTAACATTGCATATTGTCTTCCTTGTGTAAAGATTTGTCAGGAAAATATGCAAAGTGCAATCTTATTCATCTAAGACATGTTACAAAATTTAATCTATTTCAGTGGTATAATTATATTTAAAGTGCAATATTAATTTTTTATTAAAACTATACAATAATTAGAATTAATGTAGCATTATGTTTTTACTTTGTTTTTAAAACCAGCGTAGCATATCCTATGTTAAATCAATAACCTAAAAGTCATTCCTATTGATATGTCTGCAAACCAATTGAGGAAAACTTGGTACTTTTTGTAAAGTTATGAAAGCCTTCAGTTACTTACACTGTATAACACTTTTAATTAAGAAAGTCAGAAGGGAACCTTAGAAGAATTTTGCAACATAGCTTCAAGATTTCCTTTTCTTATTAAATATAAACAACCCTGAAAAACAATAAACTATAAAGTAAATATCTGAAGAAACTGAAGTATTAAAAATACCAAATAAACAGCTAAACTTTCAACCCTTGGTAGAATAAAAATGTAATCAATCACATGATTCAATATATAAGTATTTTGTATTTATGGTAAAGGTACCAAGGCTAACTGCAGCCATCCCTAATTGTGAACAACTGACCACAGAGAATGAAGCCACTGACCACAGAGAATGAAGCCAATCAGCAGTACAATACCATTCATACTAAGATACTCAATATCATTCTTAGAACACACCCACAGCTTAAAGAATGGGGAATATTTTGTGATATTGTAGGGATCTGAAACGAAGTTTACTAGCTATAAAATTCAGAACTCTACCACAGGGGCAGCCTGTACCCCATTATATAACAAATCTGAATTTAGAAATGTAAAAGCAAAGTTTGTTCTTTTTTTCTCATTTACCACAGATAAATAATATGATTTAATGAAAATTGCATACATTAATAACAAACTTTATTATTGACATGCAAGTTTTCTGAATGTTACAATTAGAAATGAAATTATTTTACAAGTTTGATAACTAAAACTATAATTAACACCCATATATTTTAATATTTGAAATTAAAAAAAAAACAACAAATAACTTTATTTTCTTTCTCTTCAACTGGTCATTTTTGGTAGTTTATTTGTATATGACTTACATGTAACAAAAGAGTAAATAAATGAAATATCTTCCGTTTATGTCAAATCATATTTCAAACCTCTCAGTATATAAATAATGTTTGTTATAAAACAATTTTCAAATTAGATGTAAGAAACAGTTCTGAGAGTAAATTTTGAATAATCACCATTTACTACAAGTACAAGTACAATATAATTTATAATATAAATATGAGTGTCACATCAACACCAAGGAAATTGCACATTACAACATGTTATTAGTACTAAATCTAATTTCTTGTGACGCTGGTAATGCATTATGTCGATGTAACACCTACAAAATTTATGAATTTATAATTATAGTAGACCTGAAGTGAATGTGTCTGATAAATTAACATTAACAACAACGTGAAACTTGATCAAGTTGATGAAATGTCTGCTCCATCTCAAGTTACACTTTAAAATTACTCAATAAACATTATTACTTATAGTTAAGAAAACATACAGAGCACATTTCTTCCACAATTATAGCCTATAGTTATTAATTCTTAAATTCATCAGATATTTTTTACTTCTATAAGCTCTGAATAAGTCAAAAACGTATTTTCATACCATCAAAAACAGTGTCACGCCTCCTAAACTCTATTCATTTTCTCAGCTTCTTATTTGAACCTTTGTCTTATCGTGTGAGTTTAAAGTAATACGCTGGAAAACCGAATAGAAACTTTGAGCTTTGTGTTTATAGGGGACGTTTAATAATTTATCACCAGTGAGAAATTATATTTGAAAAGAGAAAAGGGCGATTTTTATTTTTCAGACAATGATAAATAATTTTTTATTTCAGCCAGCGTTTCACCATTGCAGCTTCATCAAAGCCAATAATACAAGAATTGACATCAAACAATTTTTGCTCTATGGTCCCTAAAGAAGCCGCAATGGCGAAACGTTAGCTGAGATATAAAGATTTTATTATTAACTGGAGGGTAAATGTCGTTTTTGTTTTTTAACGAGTGATAACCGTTTCAAAATTTTGTTTATTTTTATTCAACTTACTACAGGATTCCTCATTAGGGTGGAGCGAATTTTTTTTTGCCTCATATCTAATTCTCCATGGGTATAATAGTTGTATATGTATATTTATAATAGATGTGGAAAATATTATTCAGGTTTGTATTCCATTTATTGGTTCCGCAAGGCGTCTGAAGTTTCCAATACTTATGTCTAGAAATTAAAGTTCAGACATTTAAACCGCCTTGCATAGTTACTAGCAAAAATTTGAGCTACTGGCAGAAATGAATGGATGGACAGAGGAGCAGAAAGTAGTATATCTGGCAACGAGCTTGAAGGGACAACCACTGGAAATACTTGGACAGTTGTCAGCATATGATAGGCACAACTATAGAGCACTGGTAGCGGCTCTAGAACTCAGGTATCGAACCCCAAATCAGTCAGAAGTCTACAGGGCTAGGTTCAGGACGAGAGTCCGTGCTAAAGGGGAGAGCCTGCAAGAGCTGGCACAGGACTTGAAAAGCATGGCACACAAGGCCTACCCAACTGCACCACCCGATCTCCTAAAGTTGTTGCTGAGGGATCAGTTCATAGATGCCTTGGACAGTCCACAACTTAAGATACAAGTGAAGCAAGCACACCCCTCTACCATGCAGGATGCAATGGCCAGAGTTCTCGAATTTGAATCCTATGTTAAGTCCAGCACAAAGGTACCGAGGTTGGTACAGTCATCTGGATTCAAGGCCAGAAAAGGTCAGCTTTCAGAGAACTTTGAGG